TTTCCCTTGTCATGGCTTATGTAAGTGGCGCTGATAAACTACCAAATCCTCCTTTGTGCTTCTGGAGCATATAAGCAGAAATTCCCCACCAGCCTTCCACACCCGTCTTGCACTTAGGACAACCAGGTGCATTCCAATGTGCTTCAAGTTATACCAGAAGCAGCATTTCAGCAGGTACAAAATGGGTTCATTTATCCTCCCACTTCCTCAATTATTGAATACTCTAACTTATGGGTAGGAATAAAGATAAATGAGCTTCTCTTTGCATGTATCTATGTGCAAGACACATCTTTCAGTATAACCATATGCCTCTGGCCGTGATTTCCTATTTACCCACATTTACCTATCACTGCAAATTTTATTAAGATAAATGACTTGTTCTCTATTTGAGTGTTAGCTGATGTAAGTGTGTGCACTCTAGTGAAGACATCTCAGCATGGGTCTCACTAGGGAGCAGCCCTTCAAGGAATCTTGGAATGCGTCATAGACTTGAATATTCTGAATTATTTTACAGGGCCCAATTCCATAAGATGGGGTTGCTGACTGCCGCTTTTATGGAATGGTGGTGGTGTTACTCTCATTTAGGCTATTTATACTTTGTTACAGCAGTGAAAACATGGTCACACTCTTCTTCCAAAAACACGGAAGGGTCCTTTTCCTGCTCTGGAGATTGTTTAGCTGGTGTTGGAACACAAATTGGGCACTGAAATATGCTAGAAGAAGAAAGGAATGAATGCTGAATACGTGAATGAAAATGGGCACTTGGTCGGGCACAAACAGACTGAAGTTTTGGTTCCTTAGAGAAGAGATGGTTAAGAAATTCTTGAATGCCAATCGCCAAAATGAGGACACCAGGATCACACTCCCAATGAGGTCTTTATTAGGACATTGTTTTTACCCTTTGGGAACACAGACCTCTTTTGGAATCTGATGACAACTATGAACTCTCTTTTTAGGAAAATGTACATATTGAACATATACACACATATTTTCATATAAATTAATCTTAGGGATGTCAGTCCCACATTCCCACCAACTGATTCATGGCCCCCCTCCCCCAGGTTAAGATCCCATAATTTAGATACATTGAATTTGGCAGTAGAGTGGCACAATGGAGAAAGAACTGTGGCTGGGAATTAGGACACTTGAGTTCTAGTCCCCGTCTCTTCTGACTAGCTCTGTGCATGCAATATCACTTCTCCAGTTTCCATTTTTTACATGAAAAAAGAAGTGGGGTAAGTTTCATTTCATCCAAAGACTCATCTGTTGTCAACATTCTGGAGAGAGAAGAGGCTGGCACATTCCACACAACATCACTCTTTTCACCAAGGTTTTCTCTACGCCTTGCCTCCTTGGTACACATTCCTTTCTCTGTACTATTATAAGATGCCTCCTTTCCCCACTCAGTAGAGTCTGAGCCCTTGTGGTTTTCTCTGCACAGAGGCCATAGCTGTCTGGTTGTCTCACTTTATTTTCCTTGATGGTGCCCTCAGAGATATCAAAACACTTCAAATAGATCACCTGGGCAGAAGCGAGGCAGCTGAGAATCAGGGTAGAGGGGTTGGGGGAGGAGGAGGGATGCTATCCTACCACTGCCTATTCAGGTGAACAGATTCCCACTCACTTATTTTCCTCTTCGCTTTCTCTTGGACTGGCATGAGACAGAAATCAACAGTTGTAACCACAATAGGGAGGAACTCTGCAATGTGCTGGCTGCTGCTGTTGCCAGTTTTCTGCCAGAGAATCCGAGAGTACTAATTTAATCTTTCCCTTTGTGTTGTAGCTTTCCCATACTTAAAAAAATTAAGAACTTTGTCTTTAGATAGCTGTGCTTTTGACACAGCACAAAGTTAAAAGCAGATTACTCAGAGGGAGTGTTCAGATATCTTCAGACAAGCCGGGTATCATAATTAAATAGTGACTTCCCCTCCATGCTCCCATCCCCAAAGTGCCTGTATTTCATTGTTTCAAAAATTATAGTCCCAAATCAGTATCCAGGATTTGTGCTTTCTATACAGTTACCCCTATCATGGGTGATCTAGCTGAATTTTTGAGTGTCCTAAAATGAGTAGGACTATTCGCTGTATCATTATATGGCCCTAATCCTTTGCCCAGTTCTGCAAAGACCAACTTCATGGTAACTCTGCATCCTGAGCCCTAGTGCCATTATGTGGGATAAACAAATTATAAATCATAATATCTTGAGTTCCTTTCCTGTGCCAGTAGTGCTTTTCAGACGTCTCACTTAATCCTCATATCAAATCTGCATCATCACTCAAATGTAGGCTCTCTGAGGGCAGATATTTTAAAAACTGATTCACATACTATTCTCTCCTCCAAGCTCTGGAGACGATATCTGAGTGATATCAGATACTCAATCAGGACTTGCTGAATTTATGGATAGTTACGTTATTACCCCTGTTTAATAGATGAGAAAATGGAATTCACAGAAGCCAAACATTACTACAAGCTACAATGGCTACTTTAATGGGACCCAGATGTATATCACCTGTATGCAAGACTACCCTTTGTGTCTAAGAGCCCCTGCCTCACATAACGTCCTGAAGGTGGCTCTTAGGCCACCTGTTCAGCAGATAGATGGAGTCACATTCTACTGCTGGGGCTAGAGGGAAGGGGTATTATGGTCCCAGAATGTCACTTAGAACAACCTGGTGATGGTTAGTCAAAATGAAAGGATTATGAAGAGCTTTGTTTACAGCAACATAGTGCATAAATAAAATAACTGTAGCCTTAGAGAATCGAATCTGATTATCTCACTTCTAACTGAAAATTAAGGGGTAAAGTGGTAGGAAAGAAAACAAAACAAACACCACAAACCAGATGAAAGCTAAACAAGCCCTCCTCCACACCCAACCAAAACAGACTTATTATCTGTAAGACTGGAGACAGGGAGTTTCCCGAAGACTTGTCTTTCTTTCCCCCTGTGGAACTGATGTCCTCCTTCTAGTCTGAGAAGCAGTCATTCTCCTTGGCAAATGCTGTAGGACTCACAAACATCCCCTCTTTCAAATATAATTTTGTTTCTTGGAAACCCCAAGTTTCTGTGAATATTATCTTCTGCTGAATTTCGCTTAGAATATCTTCTATTCTATTTTTCTTTGTGCAACACCTCCCCCTCCCCCTTTTATGAATGGTCAAGAAAGCCCAAGCATCACAGTTATTTTAGTTGACCAGGAGAAACATTTCTGATGAATGGAATTTTTCTTTGGTAAACAAACAACAAACACCAACTCAAAACCAACCAAATAAGTTTCTTTGGTAAAGTGAACATTGATGTCTTGGTTGGAATTAATTGAAAAATAAAACTTTTGCAAGTGTTTGCTAGGATCATTTCTTTCCTCTTTATAGCAATTGAAAAAGTGAAACTTCACGAAGTAATGTCTTAAGTTTTATGAAGATGTAAGTCTGAGTAACTTCTAAATTATCTTCTCCAGGTGGGGTTAAACGTCAGAGCAATAATCAATAATCAACATTAACAAATAGATATTGATCTAACAATAAATTATAAACAATAAATCTTGGCATGCAGAGTCCCCAGTAAAAAAAGTCATTCCATAGGCAGAATTCCATAAATCTTGATTTCAAGTGCTGAAAAGAGAAGTTGACAAGGTTGAAAATGCCCTTCAGTTAAAAATACAATATCCCAAGGAATACAGAGACTCATTCAAGTTGGAAAACTAATATCTGTCATAAAACAAAATTCCACAATAAAGTCATTCTTGTTGACAAAACTGAACGATTAAATTCTCAACAAAATCCAGTTGATTGGTGTGTGTGTTGTATCAGTTTTGTAGTGTTGCTTTAATCCAAGGCATGCCACGTGGCTGACACTAAATCAATGGTTGATTTAGAATGCACTGTTCAGAAAATGATTTAGTAACACATGATTTAAGAATAAAACCAATCCCCTCTTCAGCTGTTTATAAATAATAGCCTAGTTGTAGGCCCCTTGGAGAGAGACTTGATCGCAGATCTAGTATGCGAACTTGCCCTTTTTCGAGGAATGTACTTGTCCTCAGATTAAAGCTCGTTATCTTCTAGTTGAGTGCATTACAAGTTGGTGTTGATCACTTAGTGTGTCTGCAGGAGAGATTGAACTAGTGTGGAATTCACTAGCTACAATCTCCTGAATATGTATCTAGAACTGTGTAGACAACAGTACATGAAATAGAAAGCACAGGTTTGCACTTGGTGTGGTTATTTCTGAATCAATTAGGCATTTTTGCTGATTGAAAAGACAATGGCAAACCTATATCCCAAACATTACCGAAACATTACAAAAAAAAAATAAAAGTCTGCCTGATGGCCAATAAAGTCTTAGGTTCTTTCCTTGCAAATGTACTTTGAAGGGAGTAATAGCCCTCTTAGGAGAAAATCTAAAATTGGCCTGCCTTGCCTTAGGCATGCTAAAGTAAAGGACACCCTCTAGTGGTGTGACCCTGGGTGAGTCGCTTTATTCTCCTAGGTCTTGGTTTCCTCCTCTGTGGAGGAGGAAAGTTGCACAGTATGTCCGCTAAAAGTCCAGAAAGGTAAGGTGCTTTGGGGGAAAGCTTACCACTACAGAGGTCTAAAGAAGCTACATCTCTAGAAGGGTAAAACACTGTAGACATTTGTCGCAAACGTGACCAGGTCTTAGCTTCACTTTTATAGACGTAAAGAAATGCAAGGGTCTGGGGCAACACACACACACACACAGCTTTTTCAGCTCAAACCACTTATGTTTAGATCCAGAGATACTTCAAGCCAAACAGTATAAACATCTAGGCGCATTAATGTACAGAAGGGCCGTGCAGTAAAGTAGAGGGTCACCCAAAAAGGTGTGTGTGGGAGGGGACCAACAAGGTAAAAGTGCAGCCAGTGTTGCAGGAAACTTTGACTGTCGTTATCGATTTGTGTTGGAGATTACATTTTCCAGTCCTTTCTTCCTCTCTCCTTTTCAACCCTTCATCTCCCTGCTTCCACTTCTCTCAAGTTTCTCATTTTCAGGACTTATACTCACCAAAGAACTTTCTTTTCTCCATTAGGCTTTGAAGCAGGCATATCTTTCCACGAAGGCTGATTCACAGTACAGGTTGAAAGCTGTTTTCTGTGTTCGTTTCTTCTTTCTCAGCTCTGCGTAGGCAGAAGTTGTTTCTGGGCACCCACGCTACATGTAGTAGGGCCACACCACAAACAGCTGTATCCGCTGTCCATTTGTGTTTTGTCAGAACGGAGACACTGTCTTTGGGTTCAAGTAGACACCTGTTCTTTTCCATCACAGCAGAGGATTTGGGTTTGGCATTGTGGTTTGGAGTACTCAGAGCCTCCTGCTAAAAGCTGTAACTAATAAAGCAGATCTGTTTAGTGACAAGTAACAAGACATTCCAAAACAGAATTGCCCCAGTTTTGCAATGCTGGAGCTGTCACTGGTTTAATGGTACATTAACCAAACCATATAAATGTTAACAGTGTATTGATGGAGGATTATGACAAGTTCATTCTAGACAACAAAACTGCCTCCACTGAGTGAGTGTAGGGGTGACTAAATTTCAGCCCATGCATGATGGCCACTCTAGTATGTGCCTGTTTCTGAGGTTCTGACTTGCTTTCAATGATCAGAACTTCTACAAGCATCTCCTTGGGTCTTGGGGAAGCTGGATAAGCCAGCAAAGACCTCAAAATACAGACCCTGCCTAGAGCTATTGCTCCACAGATGTTCTGGAAGCCTTATTCTTTGAACATTGCTTAAAGCTATTTCTGCCTTGACAGCTGACCCTTCAATCAGTAAGTTTTGGTCACAATACCAGCAACATCTACAGTGTGAATTAAATAGGATTCTGCTTGCTAATACGCTTTCTTTTATTTGATCTTAGTTTAAGAGACTGTAAGTCTCCTAGAGTTGGTGTGCGTGTGTTTGTGTGTGTGTGTGTGCGCATGTGTGTTATTTTTCTAATAACAACCCTTTTGTTTTAAAGATTGAAAATTTGCAATGCCCATTTCCCCCCTTGTTATTTACGGTTTTTTGGCAATGCTTGCTTCTTCTCCTTAAAGAACAACTCTGAAATTGTTTCATTAACATAATCTCTTCATTCTTGATAAGACCTAGGGTGAAAATATAACAAGCAGCTCTCACACTGTCGTAATTTGGTCAACCACTCGGGTACTATCGATATCCACCATTTCAACACACTCAATTTCTTCCTGGTTTTCAGGATTTTTCTTCTCTTTCCTTTTTTTCTTAGAAGGTGGCAGGAAAGTCAGTATCACAGGTAAAATGGCAAAGCAGTGAAAGAAGGTGACAAATGCTATTAAAAACAAGCACCTGAACAGTGTACAGGTCAGATTTGAAGGCACAGCTGCGAGAGGAATCAGACCAACAAGATAGCAGAGGTAGCTCTGTAAGATAGCTACCCCATGCACTTCCAGGGCGTTTTTCACCCATTTCGTTCTTGTTAAGTCCTTGCCCAGAACAAATGTGGATAACAGTGGAGCACAATTATCAATTGTGTAGTTAATTCCATAAATTAAGCATAACACAGAAATGCAGTCCAGTTCAACTTTCCATAATGTCATGAAACCTATCACTCCAAACTCCACAGACACAACAGTGAGAGTGAGCCAGACATTGATCAGCGAATCTGCCACAAGGAATGCTGAGAAGAAGAGCAAGAACAAAGTACTGATGCAGGAGTTGTGCAGGGGGCCTCCCAGAGAGGCGGCGTATCGATCCATGAACACGAAGGATGGGTTAAAGACAATAAACTTCACCTTGGAGGTGACAGAGAGTCTCCTCAGGGTTTCTAGGAGATCACTGAGTTCTTCTTTCCTTGTTTCCATGGTCTTAGCCACCAGAAACATTCTGGAGGCCACCACATCCACCTCATCATTGTACTTTTTAGAGAAGATGATGTCCTCTTGAAAATGTGAAAATTGAGGTGTTCTCAGGAAGGAATTTCTCAGCATGTCTGTGAAATTTTTCTTAGGCAAGTCAGTGGACACATTGAGTTTCCGAAGGTAACTTAAATAGCTATCAAACCAGGATATCCGCACAAACCCCTTGGTGTATTCCAGCACATCTTCTTGAACGGTGGCGTTCCAGTACTCTATTGACTCATATATGTAAAATCCAATCACTGGACTGTAATTGCTAAAGTACTTTTGCTGGGCAGTAGTATAATCAACGGTTTGCGTCGCAGTTGCTACGATGTTACTAAGGTCTGACCCTTCACTGACCTGCAGATAGCCCATTAAGGCAAAGGAAATATAAATAAGGTAAAAGAGAACTACAAAAGGCTTGACATAGGTGTTGGTTATCCAGTCACAGTAGTAGCGTTTGAGGAAACATACCAATAAGTGACTCTCGTAAGTGTTCGCTTCCTCGCCGTCAGCTGCTGTATCCTCACTGAATCTGGCTGTCAGGAGAAACCTATACCATGCCGGCTTCTCCTGCAGTACATCAGGCTTTGGGACTTTTCTGCAGCAGATACTATGCTGGTAATTGTTTTCTATGTAGCCAGTGAATACCAGGCTGGAACCGTAAAACGAGAGTACATAGAGGTAGTTGAAGAAGATTGCAATACAGGAATTGCAGCAGAAAATCCTGGCTGCCTCAATGTTCGTGAAAGGGCTGGCCCCTATGCCAAAGGTGACCAGGTACATGGCAGTGGTGAGAGAAAAGGAGAGCATGGAGTCTGCATACACGGCTGCAGTTCTCTCTTTAACATGTTGGTCTTCTCGAGTTTTTCTCCAGGAGGATAACATTTCAAAAGTCCCATACAATCCATGACCTGAGGAAGGCAAAAAAAGAAAAAGAAAAGACCAGATACAGTGTTTAAAGAATGGTTTCAAGTGAAATATAATCAGCTTTAGTGGTGACAGGTTTGTAAATGATGATGGGGCAGGGAGAAGAGACAGACAGACAGATTTTGGTGAATTCTAAATGGGAGTGGATATCAAAATGGAAGATGGAGGGGACAAGACATTCATGCTCCTTTCTGACTTAAAAGAATTGGATGATCTTCCTGCCTGTAGAAATTTTAGTAGACTCTTGGGGATTACACACACACACACACACACACACACACACACACACACACACACATATACACTGATAGCTTAGGGTTGTTGGTACAGTTTGCAGAGTATTTGTTTCTCTTGTTTGGTGGAACACTCCAGGCAAGGTGCCTGGCCACTTATCATTTTGCTCGTGAGACCCACAGGTCTTACTGGCAGTCAGTAGGAAGGAAGGTTGTGGGCATACAGTTGTGTGTTAACATCCTACCCCCTTTGGTTTGTTGGCCAAGTGAAGAGCTCTAGTGAGGAAGAGGCAGTATTTTCAATTAGAAAAGCTAGACAAAAACCTAAATCACAGCCTCTTCCCCCACCACCTTTCTCCCAAGTATCAGTATGAAAAGAAAGAAATCTGAGAAACAAGGAGAGGCAAAATAAATTGGAACAAGTTTGAATGAACAGGGAAGAAGAAATAAGATTCATATGAACCCTCATTGCAGTTGATGAAAGTTCAAATTCTGGTTGAAGATAAGTTTATGGCTTGCAGTTGGTCTTCAGGGATCTGTTGGAGTAATTGTGATGGTTCATAGATGATATTGCAGGCAGGGAGTGACTGTGCCATTTTTTTTTGCGCACTATTTGGCAGTGACCTTTGAGGGAGTGATCTGGGTCAATAACCTCTTTCTTTAGCTCCCCAGTGCCAATGTGTATGTATGGTCCTCATTCTCACTCCATTTTGTTGGCTATGTCTGGATCTAGTGACTTCTCCTACCTCTCCTGATTAAAAACAGTTCCCCAAGAGGCTACCCTGTTTTCCAGACCCCTGAAACATTGAAAATCCCACCCAAGTGATCCATGGTGACTTTCTTGTACCCCCCTGTCTTGGCACTAGGATCAGTGGATCTAATTTTCTGCTTCTATGCCTTGGCATATTCAGTAACATTATTGAGGATAATAAAATCTTTATCCTGTGGTACGATAGTCTTGTTTTTCAAAAGGAATTTAAAATCTCCAGCCAAGCATAATGCTGAGTAGAGTGAGTCACTGCGTATACAATAACTAAGTGTACAATATTATGTGTACAATAAGTGCATGTTTTTCCTTATGGCTAGGCTGGTATTTATATTCCTTAAAAACTTTATTTTGATTCTTGTTATCTTACTCCTGACCCTGCACCACAAGGATCAAACTGGGGTTGCTGTGATAGAGGCACCACTCTTCTCCACATTACTATCTCTCTGGCCCACCTGGTATTTGTATCTGTATTATGAACACTTGGCTTCAAACCAGAATGCCCATGATACAGGCTTGTTTCCCCAGAGGGATGCAGTGTTTATCTTCATTTAGTAGGCCTCATTTTATAGCTGCTTTTAGAGATTCGGTCAAGACTGTCACTCTGATAGCTAGAACTATGACCTCTATTAAATTGGAGGCATCTAATCTCCCCAGACATGAAGCATGAAAGTACATTCATTGACTGGAGTTTATATAATTTGTGCCTAGTTTTAGGAGGGAACACCATGTAAACCTATTTCTACTTTGTTGCTACAGAGGACCAACCAACCTTTGATTAAAAGTAACCAATAGACCGAATATGATTGCCACTCAATTCCTCTTTTGCAAACCACTGCACCTAAAGGAGAGAGAGAACAAAAGGGAATGCCCTGCCACAGAGATAGGGTGGGATGGGGGGATGGGGAGTAGGAGGGATACTGGGATTAGTGGTGGTGGAGAATGGGCACTGGTGGAGAGATGGGTATTCAATCATTGTATAACTGAAACCCAAGCACAAAAATTTGTAAGTCTACAACTGTACCTCATGGTGTTTCACTAATAAAAAAAGTAACCAATTCTAGGGCCAGGGAAATGGCTTAAAGGACTGAGAACATGCATTACAAGCAGGAACCCTGGGTGTGATTCCCAGCACACATGGTCTCCTAAGTACCATCTGGAGTAACCCTTGAGCACTGAAACAGGAGTCACCACTAAACACCACTGGGTATGGCCTCCAAACAAAAATAATGAAGTAATATATCTCTTGACAAGGAAGGTAAAAAGAGGATTGATACCTTGGAGGTATCTGCAGCCTGGAAGTCAATATTATCCACTTCATCTGGGGCCATATATAATAAATTCTAGTGGGTCAAAAACACTGAAGTTTCACTAAAAATGATGAATGGAATTAGCAGTATTTTTGCTTGCTGGAAACCAAAATAATTGTTTTAAATAGGGCTGTAGTACTGAGTAATTAAATATTTTAATAAAATAAGGTTGTATATAGCAAGATTAAAATTGGTCATATAATAGAATTTAAATTGCATCTGTATTGCAGTCTTTCTTTAAAAATGTCAATGCGATGTTTTATGTTTTTAATGGACCCTGACTCTAGTTTGAAAAAAATACCATAAAAATTCATTTTATACCTAGCCGTTGCATTGAGAAAAAAGAATTTGAATTAACAGCTATTTGGTGAGAAGAGTGAGGCTCTAAGGTCCAGAAGGAAAATAATCAAATTCAAAGAAAGGTAGAAGTCAGATTGTTAGCTTGTCTCAGGAGTTCTGTAGCTGCATCTGAAATGCCTTGTCCTTCTATGATTTGATCATTTTTATTGAGTCTTGACTCTTTTCGCCTATGTTCTGGTTCTGGGGTCAGCTCCAGAGAGAATTCTAATTTTATTCTTAGGAAGTTTTGAAACTATGTCTTTCCTTCATTCCTCTTCTACAGCAATCTGCATACAGACAACAGACAGACACAGAGGAGTCGCTTAGAAAGAATCTGTTCTACTACATCACTCAGCAATTGTTAGTTACCATTGACTTTGCCTTCAAATCCTTTCCACGTAGGCCAGATTCTTGTTTTTCAAGCCACACCTCTCTGGATGCCGTCTACATCCTACCCCACAAATTGAACATGTGCAGTATCTCTGAAGAGCCTCTTGGGTCTCAGGGACAAGTGCTGGCACCATAGTAGGCCTCTTTCCTGACGCTTGGTAGATCAAGGGAAGGATGCATGCCAACATAACTGTGGGTGCCTCCCAGATCTTAGCAGCCTGGAATGCCTCGCTGGCACCAGACCTTTTTCACAGCGGGATGTCTCTGTTGAAGACTGGTTGGTTCTCTGAAGCAGTGTTTCCCTGACTGGGTGGGCGAGCCTGCCACTTCAGGGATGCTACAATGATCCAGGGGACAGTAGTAGTCTTGGGTGCAATAGTGGGGCGCTTTATGTTTATTTAATGAAGATTTCCAGGGGGACAGTGTGATTTTTTTTACTTTCTGAAAATAGGGGAGCAGGATAAATAGCTTTGGGAACCTCTGCCCTAAGGAAGACCTAAACTTTGGGGCCTCCCTGAATTTTGGCTGCAAGGGAAGATATATTCTGAGAACCTTAGTATCTGAGGAATGCCTTGTTCCCTGTCCATATTTGCTCAGATTCCCTTTGGTTTTGGCCTTTAAGGTGGCCATTTGGTTTTGTTTTGGGGGTCACACTCAGTGGTATTACTCCTAACTATGTGCTCATGGATCACTCCTGGAAGGCTCAGGGGACCGTATGTGGTTCCAGGACTGAACCAGGGTTAGTCAAATGTCTATCCACTGTACCATCTCTCTGAGCCCCATGAAGATGTCATTTTATGTGTAGATTCCTCTAATGAAGCAGCTTCTTTTAGGTTTGGGGCATGAGACTAGATATGTGGAGGGAGTCAAGATGAATCATAGGAGGATTTCAGAGAAACTAATTTCTTCCAAAATCGTCCTCTAGCTAGGAGACTTAATTTCTGTAGCCACTTCAGAACTGGGCTCGTGGAACTCATGGAGAAGCAGAGTAGTAGATTGGTTCTGTTTCTCTAGACTTTCCTCTTAGCAGGTGCCTTCCTTCTTTAGGATCACCCTCACCATTGCTCTCTTAACTTCTGGGGGGTAAGGGCTGCGCTTAGTAAGTAGGTCTTTGAGGTTAAATCTTACAGATATCAGCAAACAGATACTGCATGTGAAATAAAGTTTCTTTTCCAAGGTTTGGTTTGTGTGTGTGTGTGTGTGTGTGTGTGTGGCTAAAATGGGCCTTAAAAGGAAAACTATTTATTTCTGATTTATACGCATTTTATACTTATCCTATGAAGTTGGATCTCTAGAACTTTCTTATTATATTTGACTAAGGGGTCTGTGACACTGGTACAGAGCATCACTTCAACAAGGAACCATTTCCCATTTCCAGTTTTTCAGAATCATTCACAAGACTTTAGTATCAGTGCTCACTCAGGGAGCTACCTAAGCATAAAAGTTCCAAAGAGAATTAACCCTTCGTGAACTGAGGTCTAAGGCAGTGTTACTGGGAGCCAAGACTCACCATTGGAGGATCTAGATCCAGAGCCTGAGTTCTGGAAATCAAAAACTATAACAAGATGAGGATTCTGGGAACCCACTAATGTTCAGGACATTCCCCTTTTAACAGTCACAGTATTTAAGGTTGACAAGTTGTCAAATGGACCTGGTAAACAATGCACAATCCAATATTTAAGGACAACGGTAGAAGGTCGTAGGCATTTTGGTGGTGCTCAGATACAATAAGTTTGTACATCAAACATCACCATAAAGGTTAACACAATTGTAATCATGTTTGCTAAGCAATGAAAAAAGATACAGAGGTGTTTTGTAAAGTCTCTACTCATCTTTTAAAGGCACATTCAAGATGTATCTTTCTAGTTTGGTTGCTCTGAGGCAGCTTTGATCCAGACTCCAGGAAAAGCACAGTTGAGCTCTTTTCCATGTTCAGTCACAATTCA